ACCAGATAATGGACTCATCGCTGGACGACATCACTTACGTATTGAACCCCACGTTTACCACTCAAGACATCGCCGCTCTGGACACCGGCGCCCACCGGCCGTCCATCGCGTTCGACGGGACGGCATACTTGGCCGGAATCGTTGGCCTCAATAACATTAAGTTCAACGACTACTGCAATGTTGTGTTGCAGAGTCTGTCACACGTGCCGCCACTCAGGAACTACTTTCTCCGCGAAGACAACTACAGACACCACATTCGGCGCCGTAAGTCCGGCTCCGACTACTCGGCATTACTCGTACAGCGTTTCGGACAATTATTGCGTAAGTTGTGGAACGGATCCAACTTTAAGGCTCACGTGTCGCCCCACGAGATGTTGCAATCGGTGGTACTGTCGTCGCACAAGAAGTTCCAGATCACTGAACAGGGTATGTGTTGTTGTCCTATAGTTGTCATCTGTTTTTGATTCGCTATCGCTTTGGATAATTTTGTCTCTCGCGATGTCTTGTAATATCATTTCTTTTCTATTTGTTACTCAACAGGAGATCCGATAGCGTTCTTGTCGTGGATTTTAAATACACTTCATTTGGCGTTAAAAGAGGGGAAGAGTAAGAAACGAGTGGCCACTGGCGGTGTGGTGGGAATGGGCGCCACCGATAAGACTGCGGTCGCGGCCGACAAACAATCGTCGATAATATACGACACATTTAGAGGCAAAATGAAGACATATTCGCGTAAAATGATTCCAATGGACAAAACCATTGATGAAAGACTACAACTGATGCTCAGCGAGGAGTATAAGGAGACGTGCGAAGAGAATCCCTTCTTATATCTAACCCTCGATCTCCCGCCGCAGCCGTTATTTCGCGACGAACTCACCGACAATATTATACCACAGGTCTCTCTCCCGCCTCAACCCAATTAAATGACAATTGAGTGTCATTTCTAACTCTTGATATGCCATTACTGACCTATAGGTACCGTTGTTTACAATTCTGGCCAAATTCAACGGCCAGACAGAGCGCGAGTACCGGACATACAAGGACTCGGCGATGAGACGGTTCGAACTGACC